CTTTTGGAAGCCAAGATGCTGGCATATGTCCTTTTTAAAGCATACTTAAATCCAAGTTTAAACTATAAGAAATTGGACAAAGTTCAAACTGTTTTCTTAATAAAGTTATTTCAGGTAACAAAATGTGTGCTAATGCTGCTCTAAGTTTGGAGATTGGCATCTTAAAATCAATGGCATGGTATGTACCTTCAGATATTGACTACAATGATGTTTCAACCCCAAGATTTGGTACACATGTATTTTCCTACCTTTTTAGGTTGTACATGGAGGCATTATAATCAATATGCATTGCCCAGTACTTTATTTGTTGTTTTTCTTCCCCTCCCCCACTTGCAGAGCACAAGACTAAAAAAATACAAGCAACACAGATACAAAAATACAAGCAGTACAAGATTAAAAAAATACAGCAACACAGTAGAAAATATACTGTATCTTTCGGCGTATAAGACACACCGGAGTATAAGACGCACCAAGGTTTTGAAGAGGCAAATTTTAAAAAGTTGGTAGGTAGATAGAGGGATAGAGAGGGAGAGAAAAAGAGAGAAATACAGTAGGTGTGATGATTTAACACAATACAAAGGCAGACAGCAAGGAGCTTGAACCAGAGGCTTGTCTTTACTCAGCAGCAGCCATTTTACAACAGCTTCCTGCTACCAGATGACATGACTAGAAATGTTAACTGTTTCCTAACATGCATAAAGAATTAGGCATAACAATTGAACTTGAGATATAACATAAAGCATACACATCATTACATCTTCCCTCTTAAGTATAAAACATCTAATATGATACAAAGTCTTTCCATATTTTTGGTTTAATAGCTCGACCATAGCAAGAGAAAGTAACTGCTGTCTTATCATCAGTAGGATTTCTGTCAAGTTGAGAGTCACTCCCAGCATTGTCACATGCTAATACGCCTATATTATCCTTGGTGTCCTCGGTAGACTATGTATCCATGTTCAGGAATTTTGTGCCATCATGCGTTTGCGCTTCATTTTCTTTGTTATTTGCTTCTTCTGATGAAGTATCAGCAGCAGTGTCTGGATGGAGATGATGCCTGTTTCTTCTCAGTTGCTGTCCACACTTGGTTTCAACTACATATGATTTGGGTGAATTGGCTTCTCTAACAATTTGAGCAGGTTCCAATGTTCTCCCAGTGACTCTGCGTCTCACAGCTTGCCCAGCAGACAGTGGATGAAGAGACTTAGTAGATTTATCAAAATACAGTTTTTGCTTTCTCATGTTTATGTTCCTCTGAGCTGTTACTCGCTCATGTGGGATAGAATGAGGCTGCAATTTATGTGGTGCAGTAGGCATGGTAGTCCTCAGTGTTCTCCCCATTAGCAGCTGTGCAGGTGATCATAAACTCTCAATGGATGTTGCACAATAGTTTAACAGGCCTAAGTACACATCCTGCCCTGATGATTGTGCTTTCTGTATAATGGATTTGGCTATGCCAATGTACTTCTCTGCTAGGCCATTGGCCATGGGTGATAAGGGCTTGTGGATTTGTTCCTGATTCCCCATTCACGCAGGAAGCACTGGAATTCAGCACATGAGAATTGTGGCCCATTGTTAAACACAAGTTCTTCATACATTCCATGTCTTGAAAGTATTGTCTTAAAAGTTAATATGACTGCTGATGCTTTTAGACTTCGCAATTTCACAATTTAATTAGTTTATATGCCGCCCAATCCTGAAGGACTCCGGGCGGCTTACAAATACGAAATGAAATAAAATAACACATAGGGGAAAGAACAAAAACAATTTAAAAAACACAACATACATTTGGCTTATCTGGTGGGGTTGGACCTGAAATCAGCAACCCCAGGCCTGTTGGAACCGCCAGGTTTTGGTGGCTTTTTGGAAGGCCACGAGAGTGCGGAGGGTCCGGATCTCTGCTGGTAACTCGTTCCACAGAGCCGGAGCAGCTACAGAAAAAGCGCTCCCCCAAGTGGTCGCCAGCTGGCATTGTCCGGTCGATGGCACCCGGAGGAGGCCTAGCCTGTGGGTTCTTATCGGATGTTGGGAGGTGTGTAGCAGG